ATACACTGTCGTGTCCAGAAAATGGATAGATCTTTCACCTATTTCGTACTTTACCCGAATTGACGGATCATGGGCATCTAAAATTTGGATAAAATCTGCAAAATCCTCTTTTGAATAAGTCCAAATTCCAAAGATATCATCGAGATATCTGAAGTAATGGAGAGGTTTCTTATGGCACTTGTCCAGGGCTTTCTCCTCCCAGTCTGCCATAAAGATGTTTGCGTAGGCCGGGGCAAACGTTTTGCCCATGGCCGTGCCTTTAATTTGTAAGAAATACTCCCCATTAAACTCAAAATCGTTCTTGGTCAAATTGATTTCTAGAAGCTGTAACAATTCCGTGTCCGGTCTGTCCGGATCTGGATACTTCAAGAACACATTTTCGACAGTAGACAGTCCTGCCCTGATGTCTATATTCGTGTATAGGCTGTCTATGTCTATGGTGAAAAAGAAGGACTCCACTGGAATTTTTAATCCATGAATTATGCTGATGAAATGATATGTGTCTTTAAGGTATGCCGGATGCTTCATCGACAGTGGAGTCAAAAAGTAATCAATAAATTTGGCGGTCTGATACGTCTCGCTTCCGCAATCAGAGACGATGGGTCTACCCGGAGGAATCTCGAAGGGCACTGTCCACTTTATTGGATCCTTATGAATCTTGGGCAGGATGTAGAACCTACGTGGTCTGGGTTCACAATCACCCTTCAAATATTGTCGTTGTCTGTTATTAATGTATTTTTTATTGTACAAATCATCAATTATCCTATGAACTTCAGGAACAGTTTTTAAATAAATTGGTTCTTTTAATTTGGTGTAATATATTTTATCACTTAATTGGCGATCCACTTCCCTTATGTACTGATCCCGATCGAGGATCACCACCACACTGCCCTTATCCGCGGGTTTGATCACTATGTGCGTATTCTTCATCAATTGTTGTAATTCGTCTTGTTCTTCTGGAATAAATTTGGTGTCTCTGTATAGTTTTTAAAGTGTTTATTAAAATCTTTTTGATCTTTTTTAACAAGGAAATTGATTTCTGGCGGCAGCTTCTCTGCGGGTGGTGTCCAATGGGATTTAGCCATGGGAAATGAGGCCTTATGCTGTTTCGTCGAATTCCTGAAGTATGCAGCCAATTTGAGTCTCCGGTGGTAATTTTGCATGTCCAATTCAAATTTAGTTCTCTGATTCCAATTAAAGTCCATTGTCGGAACAAAGGTCAACCCCCTGTTTAGGAGAGACTTTTGCGTGTCCGACAAGGTAAAGTTTTTGGCTAAGACCATCACATTTTGGGAGAGAAGGGGCATTACTCCCTCAGTCCCGTCCTGTAAGGGGCTTAACGGGGGTTCAAGTTTAAATAAGTCGCCCAATGGTCCAACATTGCCCGGGCCGTATCCCTAGTCCAGTGCACACAATCACTTTCAGTGCGGAAGTGGTTGTAGTCCAAGGCTGGAATGAATGGCATATTCCGTTCAATGTGTCCATTCAGGATCTGGAGATTGGTCCGCTCCTCACTGGACAAGAGAGTGGAGAAGTTGATGACCGGAACCCATATCTCAGAGTAAGGGAACTGTCGTTTGGCTGCCCTTACTGCCGCCTGCATCTGCTTGATGGCAGTCTGTTTCGGTTTCTGCAACCTACAGTTGATCCCAAATGCGAGGACCACCTTTTCCACTGTCACTTGGGATGTTGCGGTGAGATAAAGGCTGTGCGTGTCTGAAATTACCCCCAGGATAACTATCTACCTGAAGGTCACGAATTGTGAATGGGGGAATCCGGGCGAGGTTCGAATCCCCTACAATCAACCATTTTTTGTTGACACTCAAGGTCCAGTCGACCATTTTCCTATCAGTGTTAATGTGTCGCGTGACTTTGTTTTTGAACTGCATTGGGGTAGACGTCACCTCCCCTGAGCCATCATCAAACAATGGGCTCCACTCCAGGTCAGGTGAATCCTGGTGCGCAGTGGGGTCCAGGTGCACCATCGCCGACACTTGAATGCTATTTCGGTTTCCCGGTTGGGGACGTGTGTCAACGACAGTGGGGACCAGTGGAGGAGTGCCAGTCTAGCCTATTGTCCTTCCTCCCCACCCAGGTGGCTCAAACTGTGGCAATGGACGTTGTGCACGAGTGGCACTCTGTCTGTCTACCTCCCCCCCTATGTCCACTATGTCGAAGTCAAAACTGTCTTCCTGTACCACTACCCCCCGGACGGCCCTCCGTCCCTGTCTTTGGGGCCTGGGGTCTCTATGTTCCATGAGTGGGGTAGCCTGAACACTTGGTTCAGCCTGTCCATCTTGGGGGGGCTCTGGTGTCCCCTCAGACACATCACCAGTCATAGTTGCCACTGTCGTTTTTTCTGGACATGTGGGGCACCGATGGTGACAAAGTTGACTCGTGGAGGACGTACTTGTGGTCGTTTCTGTGGGCGTGCCCGTTGTGGTGGTTCATGTACGTCTTCTGTCTGTTGTTCCGTGTCCAGGGGAGCTGGTGTTGGTTGTGTTTCGAGGTCTATTTCCACCTCGGTACATGTTGCGACCAATGCCTCCGCATGGTCGATCACCTCCTGGGTGATTCGGGGCAAGTTTTTCTTCGCCCATCTGGTGGCCACCTCAAAGGCCGTTTGCCAGTCAGATGGCAGAGTCCCACTGAGTTCCGACAAAACGTCTTCCAACATGGCTGTGTAATGATCCTCAAGAATGATGAGTGTGGTATGTCCCCAATTCCTGGCATTGCCGTCAATCAAGTCCTTTGTTGTTTGTATTGGGGCATGCAGGCTTAATCATGGTGGACAGGTTCTCGACCATGCGAGAGATCATGACAGGTTCAGGTTTCCCTGGTTCCTGGGAAACGTTCTGTAAATGGTGGACCAATTTGATGACCGAATGAAGTTGTCTGACCAATTGGCAAATTTTGGGTCCGTGGGTTGCTGTTGACGGCCTTGGTTCAAGCGCTGAGGTCCGGCAACTGAACTCTCATTAAAGGGGAATCCTTCAATTCGGACCAGAAATTGGACATCAAAGTTTATTTTAAAGAAACTGATACACATGCATTATTATTTAAAAACAGTTTTCATCCCAAGCACATCTATAGAGGATTAGTGAAATCACAATTAATAAGATTTAAACGGATTTGCACAAAGGACAATGACTTTCGGGAAGCTGTAACCATTCTCTTCAGGGCTCTAAGGAGCCGAGGGTACTCAAGACCCTTCTTGAGAGAATGTTTTAAAACCTTCCAGGTCTCTAAACAAAGGGAACAGAAGAACATTATTCCATTAGTTACTGATTTTGCAACCATGACTGGAAGGCTACATCACAAATTTAAGAATAATTACCAATTGATCATCAAAAATTCGGGTCTATTACAGGATTATTCGGTCATTTCGGCGTATAGGAGACATCAAAATTTGAAAGACATTCTTGTAAGAGCAAGATTACCATCGATACAGCCATTTCAGAAAAGGAATACCCTTTCAGGAATGTTTGTGAGACTCAAATTTGTGCGAAATAGGGTGAAAAAAACTATTTTTGAAATCTCACAAAGTTTTTCACCGCACACGACCAATTGCATTTATCTCATATTTTGTGCAAAATGCGGTAAGCAATACATTGGACAAACCAAAAATTCAATCCTGACTAGAATGACCCAACATAGATTTAATGTGAGAAACCAAAAGAATGTTCACATTCCGTTAGTTCATCATTTTGTTTCGCATGGCTTACAATCAGTCAGAGTGTCGGGAATCCAAAGCAACTCTTCGTGGACAGAATTAGAGAGGAAGAAATTGGAAAGACGTTGGATCTATTGGCTAGATACCAAACAACCTAATGGATTAAATATCAAAAGCAATTGAAATTTGACGGTAAATTAAGCCCCACCCAAACATTGACTCCTAACCCTAACCAATTTGGCCCTAATCCCACCCACTTGAATCCTAATTTGTCCCAAAACCCTTAAAAAATGAGCCCCAACCCATATTCTGGCCCTAACCCTAACCACTCGATTGATCTGGCCCTAACCCTAACCTAATTAACCCTAATCTGGCCCCAACCCTATTCCTTAATTTAGCCCCAAC